TCGTACCTTCCGAGTTCGTTGCGGTCCTGAATTTTCGCATTGCTATCCAATTGAGGCAGGTGTTCCTCAAGGTAGCGTATTGGGTCCCGTCCTTAACATTCTCTTTACCGCCGATATCCCTGTCCATCCCGATACCTTCCTGGCAACTTTTGCTGATGACACCGCCATTCTATCATCCGACTCAGATCCTGATATAGCATCCTCAAACCTTCAAAGACACCTCTCCCTGATTGAGCACTGGTGTAATAAATGGCGTATTAAAGTAAACGAATCCAAATGCCAACACATCTTCTTCACGCTCCGATGCAGTTCCTGTCTACCAGTACACTTTAATTCCATCCAGCTTCCTTTCTCAGACACAGTCCGGTACCTTGGCTTTCTCTTAGACAGACGACTAACGTGGAACCCTCATACTAGACTTAAAAGACAGGAACTAAACCGACGATACGGCCAACTATACCGGCTACTAATCAGGAAATCTAAACTTTCCATTGAAAACAAGTTACTGATCTACAAGACAATACTCAATACTGAAACTTATCTGGACTTACAGACTTGAACTGTGGGGAGCAGCAAAATTTTCTAACGTCAAACTCATCCAATCCTTCCAATCCAAAGTCCTTCGAACAATAGTCGATGCTCCTTTCTATGTAACCAATAAAACCCTACACCATGACCTTAATATCCCATTTGTTCTAGACCTTATCCCATCAAAATTCTCCAAATTCCACCAGAACCTTACCCATCATCCAAATCCCTTTGCACAATCTCTATCCAGCACCACCCATCCATATAATCCTCCAAGGAGGTTAAAACGGCAGTGGCCCCGCGACCTTTTATAGTTTGTAAATATTGGAGTTCTGGCAATGGCCAGATTCTCCACTCACGACATGAGTGTATTTGGCTTAAGCACTCTTGCTCAATCTCCACTGGGTTTAGCCCCAGTGACGCGGTTGAGAGAGAAGTGCTGGGATCTCCTGGAGCCATGCTTTTCCCTTCACACTTGGAGAGACAAGTCTGGTTTGGAGTTCCCTCACCAAATTGTAAATATTGTATATAGGTATGTATGTGTTCTTTTTATTTATTCATTGTTAGGTTATTTTATTCTTATTTATTGTATATATGTTATTTTTCTGTATAATTTATTTTATTTACTTTGCATAGAGTGTGAATGTGATCTGTTAACACTATTATAAATGTCCTTGAGACAGATTGTAATATTTTTCAATAAAAACTGTTTAATTGTTAATAAATAGTCACTCACCTGATCATATGTGAATATAAAAATATAAAACTATTAATATAGTCACTGTTGAAAAAGCCTTAGAGCAGTATTTTAAATAATAAGCACATTAGATCGTATTAAAGGCAGAGCGACGTGTAACTTGAATTGCGCTAGCGGCCATGACACTTGCTACTCGAACCCGCACCTAAACGTCTTAAAATTCAAATTACTTTTACTAAGGCAGTGGAAGATTTGATACAAAGAAAAGGGCTAGAATTAGCTGAAAGGGAGTCTCCCGTCATTGACACTCATTCACCAGCCAATTTGTTGTTCACAGTGATCTTCTTTAGAATGTTTCTAAGGATACAACACCAATTTACGAACAACAGGCTATAACCCTAGAAACCATCGGAAAACGATTTCCAGAGACAGAATGGCTCCATGTATATACTGATGGTTCTGCACTGGAAACATGCAAAAATGCCGGAGCTGGAGTTTATTCAAAGGAGTTTCAACTTGCCGCCCCGGTCGGAAAGGTAGCCACAAACTTTGAAGGGGACCACAAACTTTTCTCTTAGGCCTTGAGATGTTAATTAAACGAAAAGACAAGAAAGTTGCTTTCTTTGTTGACTCACAGGCAGCCATTTTGTCTCTAAAAAATGGATATAGTATAAATCCAAATGTTCCCGAATGCCATCAATATTTGAACCGATTAAACGAAAATGGGACAGAAGTCGCTTTCCAGTGGATACCAGGCCATTGCGGGCTACAAGGAAATGATGAAGCTGACAAACTTGCCAGAATAGGTTCTGGAATGATACAACCAGATATTCCTCTGGGCATGGATTCAACAAAAAGAATCATAAAACAGACCCTCAGAAGTTCACTGAAAGAGAAATACGTGCGAACGATTGAGGGGTTCCTTCCTTAATACCTTAGGACACCATTTCATCCTGGGTGCAGACTTAAACGCCAAGCATCAGCAATGGGGTTCAAGAACTACGAATTCACTGCTGTCTGCACTCAACTCCCAACATTTTAATCTCGCTCCCCCGAACTCTCCTACCTACTGGGCCACTGATCCTAACCGTAATCCCGATATCCTTGATTTCTTCATCCATAGTGGTTTAGGTCCCCTAAACTATTCTATTGCAGGCCTTGATGAACTTTCTATATATATATATATATATATATATATATATATATATATATATATCGTTTACTAACCTGTTATTATATTAGGCATACTTAATGCTGTGGACATTGTTAATGTTATGTTTGAATGCAGTACTAGACTCAAGATCTAACATTGTTAATTATACCATTATATTTATTTGTACAGGAATTTCCTTAGACAAATAAAATAAACTATACTACTACTACAGTTTCCATTGGCCTACCTCTTGGACCACTAGAAAATCGATGATAAAAATCCTATCAGCTATTCACAAGATAAAAGATGAAATTCTAATGAAAATTTAGAAAATTACCTACACTATTTTCTTATTTTCGTATACTTCTACTTTGCCGAAAAATTGTTTTAACAGTGAAAAACAAAGTCTTCATTCCCGAGATTACAAAGTATTAATATACATATATATTGTAGCTAAAATCACATAAGACGCACAGTTCGAGTGCGCCTCTCGATTTTTCTCGCTCGAATTTTCTCGCCTCGTTGGGGAGGCACTTGACGCTAGACCTGGGCACTCTTGAAATAATTTATTTCTGAAATAATTCACATGATTATTCCACGAATGAATTATTTCGGGAATAACGGTTATTTCTGAAATAATATTTCAAACAGTCAACGAAATAATCTCGATGGAATAACTCTGAATTTATTTCTGAAATAATTATTTCACTATTTTAACATTCTTTGGAATAATGTAAATTATTTCAAAATGAATTATTTCTGAAATAAATTATTTCATAACTATTATTTCAGAATTATTTATTTTATAAATAAATTATTGCATAAAATCAAGAAATAAATATTTCAGAAATAACATTGTTCTGAAATAACATAAAAAAATTACCAGTATGCACCATTTCGTTTCCTGCGGTTAGGCATTCTTTAGGCTTCTTATCTAATGCTGTTTGATACACGTTAATCTTTGTCAAGGATGAGTGTGCCCGAGAGCAATTTCTTTTTTCCAAATGGCCTTTTTTCGTTACCTAGGCTTAGGCTGATTTAATCGATATCAGGGTGGCCATTTATGTTTTCGGGTTATCATTTTATGAAAATAGTGTCGAATTTGCGATAGCGGCCCCTCCTCACCCGCATCGTCTTTTTGTAACTTTTCTAATTTAATCGATATCAGGGTCGACTATTATGTTTTCGGGGTCGCTTATTATGAAAATACGGTCGGATTTGAGATTTCCCCACCCCCCCCAACTCACCCGCGTCGACTTTTTGTAACTTTTCCGATTTAATCGATATCAGGGTCGACTATTATGTTTTCGGGGTAGCTTATAATGAAAATACTGTCGAATTTGCGATTGCGCCTCCTCCCCCGGAATTCGGATAAATTCGACCGTATTTTGAGAATAAGCGACCCCGAAAACATAATAGTCGACCCTGATATCGATTAAATCGGAAAAGTTTCAAAAAGTCGATATGGGCGAGTGGGGAGGGGCGCAATTTCAAATTCGAACGTATTTTGAGAATAAGCGACCCCGAAAACATAATAGTCGACCCTGATATCGATTAAATCGGAAAAGTTACAAAAAGTCGATGCGGGTGAGGGGAGGGGGGGGGCGCAATCCCATATTTGACAGTATTTTCATAAAAAACGCTTCCGAAAGCATAATACTCGACCCTGATATTGATTAAATCCCAAAAGTTACAAAAAGTCGATGCTGGAGGGTGGGAGGGGGCGCAATCTCAAATTTGACATTATTTTTATAAAAAGTGCTCCCCCCAAAAAACATAATAATCGTCCCTACACAGGGTGGTTAGGTGTGGTCAGGTTTTTTTTGTGGAATTTTTTCTAATAAAAGTCCTCAAATCATAAAAGTAATCGAGTACTGCCCATCTCTAGTATTAGGGATGATAAACGGAGGCGGTAGCGAAAAGTAATTTTTGTGTGAACAATACTGTTTTTATTTTGGTCATTTTAAACCTTTTTGCAGCTATCACAATGATTATTTCACAACATTATTTCCTGAAATAATCATCTCAGATATCGTTATTCCTGAAATAATTTATTCCCGAAATAATCATTTCGGAAATAATGGTCAGTTTATTTCATAAAATAAATTATATCGGAAATAACTATCGAGGTTTATTTAGGGATTTATTCCGGGAATATTTTTCAAATAAATTCTGCCCAGGTCTACTTGACGCACAAGACGAGTAAGTTAAGCTTGACACACAGTTCTCCATTTTTCTCGCCTCGTGACCGGAGGACCTTAGTGTTTTTTCTCATTACGAGGAGTCAAATACGCACTTCGCAAATGTGGATTTTTTTTTCATTTTTGTATTCATTGATGATCAAAACAGAATATCAAATCTGCAAATATTATGGGATTACTTTTCGAATACGGCTTCTCCTGAAGATTTGATTCACAAACTAAAAATGTTTTACCTTGAGATATAAGTAAGTATGGAACCAATGAAAATGGTTAGGAAGAGTGGCTCACTTGGCAGACGTTTTTACTTTATTTTGAAACAATTATTCAGTGTAATAGTTTTTGATTTATATTTTTTATAATATTTAGTTAAAAAAGTAAATCTCTTTAGTGGCGATATTTAAAAAAAACAACATATATTTACCATTATAAGGCTGATATGTGCCTTCATCAAATAAGTCTTCATCATAATAATAGTAAAAATCTAGACCCACCATCAGATAGTAGTAGGATTGATCTGGTTTTGTTGGTACGTTGCTTTCACCTTCCAGATGACTGATACAGATCATTTCGCTGTTGCTTTTATCACAATTCGATTCAACTGCATTGAATTGCTATCATGAAGGAATTTCAGGAATAATTAAATATTGATCATTTTTTTCAATGATTAATATAATTAAAAATAAGTTAAATTAATACTAACTTTACCCAAGTTGCTGGGTGGAGGGGGGTAATTAGGTTTGTCCACAACTTTATTATCCTTATACCTTAGGATAGCCAATTGATGAATTTTATTACAATGAACTTTATTAGTGCTTGTGACAGAAATGAAATAAATACCACTAGGCCTATTTGCTTCAAGGACCACATCAAAACGATCACCTAAAAATGCAAATTGTATTGTTAATAAAAATTTATAGATATTATGAGTGAGTTATTGAACCAACAAGACCAATAAACCAAAGGCTCTCAGCCTAATGGCTCCACACAGATCCATTGTAACCAATAATAGAAGTATGCCAAGTAGTTCCAACTGAGTGCTTCTTAGCCGATTATTTTCAACCACTAGCGGATCCAAGATTTAATTTTTGGGAGGGAGGGGAGGGGCTTCAGCCCGGAAGCTTTTTTTTTCATATATATATATATATATATATATATACATCGATAATTACTTTGAAAAACAGGAAGATACAAACTACCTATTTGAAATGGTGTTTAAGTGATTCTTGAAGTCCTATTGAATGTAATTAAACGAGTAATAATACATTAAGACATAATTTTTTAATATTTTTTACCATAAAACATGGTTAAATTTTACCATTCTAGGGAAAGCTTCAGCCCGAAAGCTCCCCCCGGAAATCCGCCTGTGTTTTCAACTGTTTCCGGTGGATCTAATAGGCACGCCTAGAATTACTATGTAGAAGTTCCAATGGAGGAAGATGAAGCAGGACTGATTGGAACAGTTATTAAAGGTTCCATTGTCAGGCCAGTTCCTCTTTCGGTTTCAAGAGATAATATAATTTAGTAGCTGGTGATATTACTAAGCCAAGCCTCTCTCCTAAATTTGGAAGTAATAGGCTCAATGAAGGTGTTATTGTTGGGTCAAGTTTTATTTATTAATCACTATTACTCCACCGATGATTAACAATAAACTATAAATCTTCTAATACTATGGATAAGTGCTTGGAAATGAAATTTTACTCAATTCGTTTTAAATAAAGTTAATGACAAATTATAATCATGTATACATTCAAAAGCACTTACCCGAGTTGAGAACGACCGTGTCTACAAGTTGTGGAGTAAATTTTAGGTTTCCATCTGCAGAGATTACTAAGACTTTTTGATCAAGGAACGTTACGGCTGCTGCACAGTTACTAAAGATACTACCAATCAAACGAAATCTAAATCGTTTGCCTTCAACAACCTCAAATTCTGCAAGTGGTAAGACCATGTCTTTGTCGTTGGCCTAGAAGAATATTAGAAATAAAAAAGTTGATTTAGAATGAACTTTTATAAACAATATTTTAGGACCCGATTTATATATATACTATTATCATTTTTTATAAAATTTGTAGTTTTTTTTTTTTTTTAACTTCTTCAGTAATTTAACTTAACATTCCATATTGATTTTTTTTTTATTTTCACCTACTCATATATCTAATATATAATAAGGGAAAGTATTGCGATTGTGAAAATTTTCGAATCCATGTTTTCAACAGAAATACACGTTTTGAGTCCAAATAACCAAGTCCCGCAAATTGATCTTTGTGCGTGTGTATGTATTTGAACAGAAAAAAAAAAGTACGAACCGAAATAACGTATTTAGAGTTTGTATATACCTGAGATGTTACAACGACTTTTCCACTCAAATCGGCACACCGAAAGTGGTTCTTTATAATCGATTTAACACATTTTGTTTCGATTTTCCCAAAAATGGCTCTAACGATTTAGATAAAATTCATTATATCAGTGTAAATTTAAGCAGGTTTTGATTATAATGTAGGTTTTATTGTCATTGATGTTCTCTAATAGAGCTTAAATACCTAATTTTCAAAATTTCTTCCGCTAAAATACCTTTATTTTTTTAAGGAAGGAGATGGTCCGGGGTGGCGGTCATAAATAGACTAAATAGTGGCAAAACCATTTTATTAAAAGCCCACGTTTCGAACCGTCTTTGCAGGATCCTCTTCAGGGAGGTGTGTTCAGCAAGGAGTTTCACTTGGAACTGGGTCGAAACGTTGGCTTTTAATAAAATAGTTTTGCCACTATTTAGCCTATTTATGAACGCCACTCCGGACCATCTCCTTCCTTAATAATGCAACGGTCAGCTATTAAGTATTCTTTATTTTTTTATTTGAAAATAAACTAATATAAAACATCAGCATTGGGCAGAATTTCATTTTTCAGCAAGATAACGATAAAAAATATTAAATATAACATTAAATAGAATAAAAAATAAATTTTGAATTAGCGAATGTTAAATAAAATTACCGAAAAAAACATATTGTAACAAAAATTGCAACATAAGACAATTGCCACATATACACTAAGCTTTATAGAGTTTCAAAAGGTTCTGATGATAACAATAAAAAGTAAAGACTACAATAAAAAGAAAGGATTACAAATTAGTGAAATATGAACAATGACGTAGCATTATTAAGCGTCGTCAGACTTCAAAAATAAAAAAAAAGAAGGAAAGGGATAGAGATGCAACTCTCACGGCTTCTGAATAAACACTGCTTTATTCGTTCAATAAGTCTCCTTATATACAGTTAGCATGTTTGTTTACATTGCCAGATGGTATTAAGGCTGATATCGCCAGTCTCCGGTCTTTATCTCCCCCCCACCAGTTTACGAACAGGATTTTCGGAAACTTAAATATTCCTAAATTGGAGCCAACGGTGACCAGCCTTAACACTTTACAATTGTTCTTACAGTATACCCTTAAAAGATACTAAAACTCACTTCCACTCAGCTGGAACGAGAAAAAAAAAATTAAAAAAAAACACAGAAAATAAACACAACACTTGCTTCCAAGAACAGAACTCTTAATAACCTAAACAAAAAAAATAATACAATTTTCTCTACAGTATGGCTATAATTCTATTTACATAAAAAAAAAATTACACCATATTTATGTTTTGACAGCCAAAAAAAAAACATATTTCTTATATACAGCGGTGAGGGTACTACGAATCCGTTGGTCTATGTTGCGGTTCTATCATTGGGAGCTTCAATTGTTCAATGTGAACAGTTCTCCTCTTTCTGGGTTCATTAACGCTTTCGATAGTTAGCAGATTATGCTCCCTAATAGCAACCACTCTGAATGGACCCTCGTACCGTAGCAATTGTTTCCCTCTGTTGGTTCCCAATCTACGGTACACTATTGTTCCGATCTTTAGTTCTCCCATTTGGTCGCGTACCTGCACATTCTGCCTCTCCACCCGCTTCTTCTTTTCACGCTTAATTCTCGCCGTTACCTTTTCCCATGTTTTCTCTACCTCTACCCTATTGCTCTGAATTTGCTCTACTAACGGTTCGGTAATCGTAGTTTCCCCATAATCCCGCCTTGGCCTGCGCGTCCCGAATAGAACTTCTACGGGTGAAAATCCCGTTACGGAGTGGATCGAGTGGTTATAGGCTGTTACCGCCTTCCTCATCGCAACATCCGGTTCCAACCCTTTTTCCCCCTGCTATGGGGAAATGACCACTAAGGGATGTGGTCGCTTAGTGTGCTGTGCAACCGTTCGATACTGCCTCTAGTTTTAGGATGTCCCGGGGTGTTATAATGCCACGCAATCTCCAATCTCTTCACCTCCTCCCTAATCGCCGCATTGTCAAACTCCCTACCACCGTCTGATGTAATCCTCTCGGGGACCCCATAGAACTGCACCCAGGTTTGTAGGGCTTCCGCAACTGCATTGGCTGACTTGTCCATGACCTGATGTGCCATCGCCACTTTGCTGAATATGTCGATTACAGTGACCCACTTGAACCCTTTCCAGGTGAATGTATCAATCTGGAGGTCCTGTAGCGGCATATTCCCTGTAGGTGTCTCCTCCTGAACTCCTCTGGGGGGGGGGGGTGTCGATCGTATTTTGTGCGCATGCATATCTCACATTTCCCAATGATTTCCTGGATGGATCTCTTCATACCCCACCAGAAATACTTTCGACGTAATGCCTGCAACGTCTCGTTCACGCCTCGGTGGTTGGTTTTCCCCTGGTGATATGGCAATGTGACTGCTTGCTGTTGCTCTTCGTCTTGTATCGTCTCCACCGCATACTTGCACCGGATGAATGTCCTGTCCACGCCTATTCGCTCGGATCTCCACATTCGCTTTATCTTATCCCATACTGTATTGTTTCCAACGTATAGATAGTGCGTTTTACCCGCTTCCGAGGCGTCCTTCAGTGCCGTACAGATTTGTTCTTCGCTTACCCCGGGTTGCGACCAAATAACGCGAATCCTACTCCTCCCATATCTTCTGAAATCTATTTTCATGATCCCGGCTGTTCGTGTCTTCCAGATCACCTGACGATGTTTGTCGTTAACGATCTCATCTATTTCGTCCATCTCCGCTGCCCTTTCCTCCGCTGAGCTCTCCTCTTCTGGGGACTCTCCCCTGTCCTCTATACCTGCGGTATCATTTGCCCCTTCGCCATCAGGAGTCCATTCACTCAAGAATTGACGCACGTCCCGCGATGGTCCTCCCCTGTCCTCTTCAACCGTGTTGATCATAATGGCCCTAGAGAGCCAGTCTGCCACCACGTTTTCCTTTCCGGGCTTATACACCACCTCTATATTGTATTGGCTAAGGACCTCCTTCCATCTCGTGATCCTAGCTGAGGTTTCCTTGAGTTTCCCTACTCACTGAAGGGGTTTGTGGTCGGTGTGGACTCGAAACTTTCTACCGAATACGTATGGCATGAAATGGTCGATAGCCCACACTATCGCGAGTAGCTCCCTCTCCAAAGCGCTGTACCTTGATTCCGCACCCGTAAGCCGACGGCTCGCGTATGCTATCGGACGTTCCCCCTCACTGCTTCCCTGAGACAAAACGGCCCCTAACGCATATTCGCTCGCGTCGGTGGTTATGTTGAATTGCTTTTCAAAATCCGGGAACGCCAATATAGGCTCTGCCTGCAACCTACTCATGCATTTCCGGATCTTGTTCTCCATTTCCGGTGTCACCACAATCTTCGTCACCACAACCTTTCTTCAGCAAATTGTTGATAGGTACCAAATACTCTGCCATCTCAGGCACAAATCTCCGGTAATAGTTAAGTGTCCCGAGAAGCCTCCGGATCCCTTTAACGTCCCGTGGTACCGCCATCCGTGTGATTGCCTCCACCTTTGCTGCATCCGGTCTGACCCCCTCGCTAGAGATAGTGTGGCCTAAAAAATTAATCCGCGTTTGCCCCAGCAGGGACTTCTCGCTCGACAATTTCAGCCCGAATCGCCGCAGCCTTTCGAAAACTGATCTCAGATGCCCCACGTGTTCGGCTTCCGTTCTACTGAAGATCAGTAGGCCGTCCATGTACACTTGGCATACCGAGTCATCAATACCCCTCAAAAACTCGTCCATCAGACGTTGAAACGTTATGGGCGCATTCTTCAGACCAAACGGCATTCTGGTGAACTCATAATGCTATTTCATTACTCAGTGGGATTTCATGCACCGTCTTCCCCGTTACCCCCAATACCTCGCCTTCCCTGAAGAAAATATCTTCGAAATCCGCTTGTAGCGACTTCCTCCAGTCCTCTACCCTGTTCATCGCTCCTATCCGTACCCTTCTTTCTCTCGCGACCCCTACACATTCAAACTTCCTCTTTCCCAGCCTAATACTCCAGGCTCCCTTATGGTTTCTGATGCTCGCCCCCACCTGCCCTAACAGATCGCACCCTACTATGACTTGGTATTCCCGTGTCATGTTCTCAACCACATGCACCCTTAGCTCACCCTCTTTCCCTGCCCATCGGTCAAGCCTAATTATCGCCCCCCCTTCTACGCTACAGGGCCCGCCCAGAGTGATCAGCTGGCAGTCGCATTTCTGTATCCGGAGTACCCTCTCGCTCCCGCACACTTTCCCTAACGTCCATCTGGTCATGATAGTGCTCGAGCTACCCGTGTCCACAAGACACTTTACTCCCCCATCTACTTCAATAATTGGCAACCAGCATGGCTTACCTTGGACACTGTTGCATGTTGCTGTGCGGTCGCCTCTCTGCTGACACACTCCTCAGATGTCGCCCCGCTTCCTCCTTACTGCCGCCGCTCGTCGCTGCTCGCTCCGTTGGCTGCGCCTGCCCCCTTCGCCTCCGCTGCTGCCTGGTTCATCCGTCTCCGTTCCTGAAGTTCCCGACTCCTCGGTTGCCTCCTCCGAAGATCCGTCCCTCTGCTGTACCCTAGCTCACCTTTTCATTTTCTGCATATTCACCTCCATCGGTTCATCCTGAGGTCTC